GAATAATGGGGGATTCAGTGACAGTGATGCCACTGAATGTCATGAGGTGACTGTTAAGATTCTCTTCAATTGGGGATGGTCATTGTTTGAACCTGTGTGGCATGAATGTTACTTCTTACTTCAGCCCAAGGATGAATATTTTCCAGGTCTTGCTGTTTTTGGATATGGACTGCTTCAGTATCTGAGGAGTCATGAATGATGCTGAACATTGTGTAATCATCACTGAACATCCCCACTTAGGACCTCATGATGGAGCGAAGATCACTGAAGCAGCCAAAGATGATTCACCGTAGGATGCTACCCTGGGAAACACCTGCAGGGATGTCCTGGAGCTGAGATAACTGAACCCCAACAACCACAACCATTTTCCTATGTGCCAGGTATGACTCCAACCAGCAAAAAGTTTGCCTCCTGATTACCATTGACTCAGTTTTGCTAGGGCTCCTTGGTGTCACATTCAGTCAAATGCGGCTTGGATGTCATTTACAGTCACTCTCATCTCACCTCACCTCTTGAATTCAATTCATGTTTAAGCAAGGCCTTTGACAGGTCCCTCATAGCAGACTGATACAGTAGGTGAAGTCACATAGGATCCATCGTGAGCTGTTAAGATGGATACAGAACTGGCTTGGTCATATAAGACAGAGAATAGCGGTGGAAGAGTTTTTCTAACTGGAGGTCTGTGACCAGTGGTGTTCCGCAGGGATTGGTGCTGAGACCCCTGTTGTTTGTAAAATATATATAAATGATTTGGAGGAGAATGTAGGTGGTCTGGTTATTAAGTTTGTGGATGACAGATTGGGGGGAGCTGTGGATTGTGACGAGGATTGCCAGAGAATACAGCAGAATATAGATAGGCTGGAGACTTGGGCAGAGAAATAGCGATGGAATTTAATCTAGACAAATGTGAGGTGATGCATTTTGGAAGGTTTACTGCAAGAAGTATACACTAAATGGCAGAACGTTTAGAAGCATTAAAATAGAGGCATCTAGATGTACAGATCCACAGTACCCTGAAAGTAGCAACGCTAGTTGATAAGGTGGTCAAGAAAAGGTTACCAGGATGTTGCCTGGTTTGAATGGTATTAGCTTGAGGATAGATTAGACAAACCTGGTTTGCTTTCATTTGAATATCGGATGTTGAATGGCTCCCTGATAGAAATTTACAAAATTACGAGAGGCATGGATAGAGAGTCTTTTTTATGCCCCAGGGTGGAAACGTCAATTATTAGGGGAAGTAGGTTTAACGTAAAAGAGAGAAAGTTTAAAGGAGATGTGAGAGCCACATTTTTTACTCAGAGGGTGCTAAGTGCCTGGAATGCATTGCCTTAGGGGCTAGTAGAAGCAGAACTAATAGTAATGTTTGAGGCATCTTGACAGATACATAAATTGGCAGGGCATAGATGGATACGGACCATATAGAGACAGAAGGTTTTTAGTTTAGAACTATGTCATGTGTTACCGCAGGCTTGATGGGCCAAAGGGCCTGTTCCTGTGCTGTACTGTTCTTTGCTTGGGCAAAGATGTAATGAGTTCAGGAACTGACTAGCTCTACCAAAACTCAACAGAGCACCAGTGAGCAGGTTGTTGCTAACAATGTGCTGCTTGATAGCACAGTTGGTGATACCTTCCATCCCTTTACTTATGATTGACAGCAGACTGCTAAGGTAATTGGCCGTGTTGGATTAGTTGGTTCTTCCCAGTCTAGCAATTATGTCCTTTGGGTATCAAACAGCTTACTCAGTGGGGGTACTGCTGGGCTCCACTTCTTTTACCACAAAACATTACCTGCCACTTTCTCAAAATCATTTACCCTCACAAAAGCCACAAGAGCTATATCTTACTGTCAAACCTCATTCCTGCCATACAGCAGTGGGTGGGTGGGGTGACACACAAATATGCTGGATGGCAGATGACCGAATAAAGTCGACAGGCACATTTGGTGCAAAGCTGGGAAGGAGGTCAACCTGTGGACATTGGGGTATTCCTAACAACGATCGATCTATCTCCTTTGTCCCTTCCTGTCTGGCCTCCAAAGACCACACCCCTCAGTCGCTGGCCTCCAATCTTCCTTGGGGAATACCAGAGTCTGGTAGGTATGTCCTCTTCCCATGGTGCTCCTGCAGTGCCCAAAATTCATTTCTGGCATGGATGGGATTGCTAGAACCACCGACCAATCCACATGACCTACAATTCTTGAAAATGAGACTTCCTCTCTTCTGATGGGTGAATGTCTGACCCTCACCTTGATAAAACTGCCCATATTGTGTCTCAGCTATGGGATGGCCTTGTTTAAAGTCAGTCGTTTCTGCATCACTTTTTTTAAACTGAGGTGGCCAGGAGCACAATACAAACATACCTCCCCTTAAAATTCAGCCCCAAGTATACAATCGCGATGTGATGTTTCTGGATATCTCTCCCAATATATCTCTTTTCCTCACTTTCATTTATGGCCTATGCTTTGGCGTCCTGTCATACTTTTGATGTAACATTTGAGATCTACTAAGTATGTTGTTTAATTCCATCCAAATCAATAAAGGTTCCTTTTCAGTAACCTCATTTTGAGGTCACATATCGCCAACCACTTGAGGCTTCACTACTAAATCTTTTGATGATAGTTGTCAATTTGGTGTCAGAGATCAATATAACCCAAAAGTTATTCCAGGATGTGGTTTTCAAATACACTGCAACACTCAACTGGATTATTTTATTCATCATCAAGTTGCCAACAGATTCACCCAGTGGGAATACTGTCAACAAGTATCCACCATGCCTTGAATTTGTGGTTAAGGATTAAAAGATTGTGAATCAACTGTTACAACCTTACCAGGAAATAACATAACCAAATTATATTTTTGATAGTTAAACAGATGAAATGTTCTGCAAAATAACACTCTGATTAAGCCAATCATTTATTAATTCAAAGTCCCCAATCCAATGAAATCACAAAAGTTGCATTAAAAATTTGCAATTCAGGTTCTGATCCATAATGTTAAATAAAATTTCAAGGACAATGGTAAGTAGAAAACCAATACTACCACACAAGACCAGAGCTTTTCCTTTGCAGGAACAGCGCCATCTGCTGCTTAGTATCAAAAGTTTCAAATCCATCATTTTTGTGAAGAAGATTCAAATAGAAGGTTGATTTCTTGCAAACCGCACTGATTAATTACATATTCAGGTTTCACTGTACAGACTTTCCTTTTCCAATGCAATAAATGTTAGTTATGATATTGTGCGACAAGTTTTTTTTTTATTTTACTGGAAAAAGAGGGAGGGTTACAGAGCAGAATAACCCTAAAACCTCCAATGCGATGCTGTCAGCCATTTATCACCAATACTGCTCTAAGGTTAAGTAGGCCATACAGCTCCTTGAGCTCACATTGCCATTTAATATTATTATGTTTGAGATGATCCTGATTTTCAACTTCACTTTCCCACCATTCCCAATTACCTTTAATAGTTAAATCTATCCAATTGAGCTTTGAATATATTCAATGATTTCACTTCCATAACTTTGGTCAATAATTTTGAAGATTCAGGATTCTCTGAAAGAAGCATTATTGCCATCTTAAAATGGGTAAGAATCTTCATTTTGAAACTTTACCTTCTATTTTAACTGCCCCCTACCAGAGAGAGGAACGTCCTTAGTATTAACTTTGTCAAACGCCCTCAGAATTAAATGTTTCAATAAGATCTTGTCAGTCTCCTTCTCATTCTAACAACCAACTTTTCTTCATAAGGCGCAGAGCCTTCGTTTCAAAAATTACCCAAATAAACCTTCCTTGAACTGTTTCCAGTGCAAGTATACCCTTCCTGAATTAACATCAAAACTGCACACCACACGATAGCTGTGTTCACCACCACCTGTGTGGCAAGACTTCTTTTCATGTTTTATTACTTTTTACAATATAGGTCAACATCTAATTAGGTTCCTAATTTTCCAAATTACAGCTGTTAGGCTATATATAATCTATAAGTTTTCTGCTTTGTCTCCTTTATTTGAACATGGGTGCTACAGTTGCAGTTTTCCAATTGACCGGGACCTTTTCTAGAACATTTGCCATTAATACTCCCTTCATTAACTTATGCCATCTTAATTAGAATGTATATTCTTAAGAATCAGGAAATTTTATATAATGTAGACACATGAAGTTTCTTTATGTCTAACATGAAAACATAAGAAATAGAGCAGGAGTAAACTATATGGCCCTATGAGGCCACTCTACCATTCCATATGGTGTGGAGGTGCCAGTGTTGGACTGAGGTGGACAAAGTCAGAAATCACACGACACCAGGTTATAGTCCAACAGGTTTATTTGAAATCACAAGCTTTCAGAGTGTAGTCCCTTTGTCAGCAAACTACCCAGTCTTCAGGACAACATTGACCGCAACACTACACAACCCTGCTATAGCAACCTCTGTCAGACATGTCAGATCATCGACCTGAATACTCCTATTACATGTGGGAACACCACCCACCACGTACACGAGAGATACTCATGTGACTTGGCCAATATTGTCTATCTCGTATGCTGCAGACAGGATGCCCTGAGTCATAGTATATTGATGAGACCATGAGACACTTCAGCGGTCAAGGACATTCAGCCTCTGATCTTCAGGTAAGCATCCTCCAAAGTGTCCTTCGAGATGCACAGTGCAGAATTCGCAGAGCAGAAACTGGTAGTTAAGTTCTGTGCCCATGAAGATGGCCTCAACCATGATCTTGAATTCATATCGCGCTACATGTGACCCCACCACACTGTTCTGTATCTGTAAAACCTTCCTTACTGTCTTGTTTAACACCATCACCTTGATAAATTGTTATGATCTCTTTACCTTAACTAGACCGCACAGGTTTGGATTACTTATTACTTTGGTTAGACCCTCGACATGCGACTCTTACACCTATCATGTTATTCCAGTCATTTGGCTTGTCTCCAGCACCACCATATTTTTAATTTTTTGTAACTATCTCTCTGCTTCATTTAATGGGATTATACCCTTTGCTTGTTATTCAGCTGATGACATTTTACTCACAAATCTGACACTTTTGATCACCTGCAGAGGCTTATTATTCGACACTTCACTCACACCAATTACATGCTCGTTTGATCTCTGTCTATAAATTTTGTGTGTGTGCTTCTATCTCACATCACCTGACGAAAGAGCTCTGCTCCAAAAGCTTGTGATTTCAAATGAACCCGTTGGACTATAATCTGGTGTTGTATGACTTCTGACTTTTACCATTCAACATGACTGGCTGATCTAGGTCTTAATATCCACTTTCTTTCTCAATTCCCTGAGAGAACAAAATTTATTTATTTCTGTCTAGCTATTCAATGATGGAGTACTCACAATCTTCTAGGGTCATGAATTCCAAAGATTCACAATGACTTCTGTGAGGGAATTTCTCCTCAATTCAGTCCTAAATGATCAACTCCTTATCCTGAGACTGTCTTTGTTAGGGGAAACAACACCTCAGTATTTATCCTGTAAAGCCCCTTAGATTTGTGCATGTTACAATGAAATCACCTCTGTTCCATCTAAACACTTAAAAAGAACAAAAGATTCAATAAGGGGAGAAAAAAGTAGCTCGAAATAAATTATTGTTTGACTATCAATTATAGCAAGTGCACTCAGGTTTGAGGAACTGAAATCATAACCTGAACATTTTTGTGTACAGAAAAAAACTAAGACACTGACTAGTACTTCATCTATACAGGTATACTTGCTCCGCATTCCAGCTATTTTTCAAAAAATATGCTTTAAAATCTTTGAACTGAAAGATTTGGGGCAAGATTTACACTGATGCTGTGGTCAGTACCTCTGTAAATGCTTGTAATACATAAAATTTATTTTCCAATGTTGAAATTTATTAAGATTATATACTCCTCATCTACTTATATAAAACTTCAGAGAACAAATTTTAAATAGCCAAACTTAGAGCAATTTTTCCACATCTATATATGTTCTTTAAATTGAATTTTTAACAACAATTGTTGAATTGAAATTTTTAAAATCAGCCTGGCAAAACATATCCCAAAATCATTTTCTCATCAGCCATGTAAAAACATCAACTGACTAAATGATCAAAAGCACTCAATTAAGACCGTCGTGGTAAAATAATTTCAGAATATTTGAAGTAATATTGGTGCATTCTCCTTTGAAATGCCAAATATAGTAAGCACAAAACAATGCGTGTGATTACTAAATCATGTAAAATCTCTCCCGCCAGCCTTTAGAACCATGTTGGACACTGATTTGGCATCTTCTCCATGGTAAATACTTGTCCTAAAAAGTTACAATTAAATTATTTTCTACTTCGTTTAACTGCAACTGTATATTTTTGTCACATATGACACAAGTACACTTAAACAGTCAAATTTTTGTCTCATGAGAGTTGCACAGTAATTACTATGAAAGGACGGAATCCTTCAAGTCACAAAATTAGCAAATAGACTAAAACCAAACTGGTTGAGTATATTAACCATACAGTATATGTGGTATAAAGGACTTTTAGATATGATTGAGACCTAGCTGCCTTATCAATGAACACAATTTTAAAAAAAACAGATTATTTCTTTGATATTGATTTTGTTTATGGCCTTCAGATCATTTCAGATTCCCATCTTCCCAACTCAACGGAAGATAGTATTAAAATATGTCCCCATTACAGTTACAAAACTTGCATATATCTCAATCCCTGGTAGTGAATTTATTGCTGTATACAAGGCAGGAACCTGCTATTATCTCCATATTCTATGACCCTTTCAAAATTAATTGTTTCTTTTTAGTTCAGACATTGTTTTTACCATGAGACACTATTTTCATATCTGTTCTTCTTGATAGCTGATTTCTCTGCATTTATGGCATCAGCTTATCAGTCCATTGATACTGTCAAAGAAAAAATGCATAAAACTTAACTGGTATTTAATGAATCTGAGTGGTGTTTACTCTCAAAAATAGCTATTTATAGACCCATATTAAAAACATCACGCATCAATAGAAATTACTGTACAAAGAATGAACAGAAATTGTTTCAAGGTATTTTTTCAAAAACCTATTAGTTGTATAAAAGTCAACATAAACTCAGTACCAAATATGAAAGTAGGAAATATACACAAAATGTACACTAATTTTCTATCAAAGGTATGATTAGCGAAATGGTAGATGACTTTGTGGCTGTCTTGTTACATGCCACACAAATATTCAGTGACATATCAGTCTCATCTCTGACCACCTCTCTTTATCATAATTTGACGGATTTGTTTGTCAAGCTCACTGATAATCCGATCATCGTGAGTGTATACCCCTGTCCTTAGTAAAGTGTCCCTCTCTTCTATGAGCCGAGTAAGATAATTGTCCAAAGCCTCGTCTGGTTGCTGAGCATGATCTCCAGCTTCCCTTCCAACAGCAGGGGCACGCTGATCTGAAGCTTCTTTATTTTCTTGTAGCTTTAACCTGATAAAAACAAAGTTTCTGTCTATTAATCACGTATTTTAAAAATTTTACACCCAACTAGTACCTCCCCATCTTTCATTGAGTTTCTGATCTTTGCTGCAGCCCTGTGAGGAATGTTAGATGTGGGTGAGAAGGGGAGCTATCATTACTAGTCATGTATACCTAGCTTTCAGTAAGGTTATGGTACATAAGCAAAGAACAAATCGAGACTAAGAACAGGGAGAAGTGGGGGTAGGCCTCTTTCCACAATGTCACAAAGCCTCAAGAATATCTATTAATTTAAAATGCAAATCATTCCTTAACATATTCTGAGAAAAAGAAAGATTATGGAAAAATAGTGGGAGCATTTCAATGGCACATTCAAGGTCACAAATGGAGAATATTCACAATATTATCAATGTTCGAAAGCATCAGAAAATCCAAGTTTAGCACTCGCTGTGAATCTAAAATGTGGAACTCTTGATGGAGAAACCAGCATGTAAAACAAATCTTCTTCGTTCGAATCATGTTATGAGTGCAAGTTACTAATACAAGAACACAAGAAAGGTGAGGTGGAGCAGATGATTTCACCTGTTCTACCATTCAAAACAATAATGGCTGATCTTGGGCTTCAACTTCAGTTTTCCAATTTGTGTAACAGCCAACATCTTAACTTTTGCTCAAACTTTCAAGATACCTTACCCTTCCAAGCGTAATCATAGAGTCATATAGCATGGAAACAGACCTTTCGGTCCAACTTTGCACGCCAACCAATGTTCCCAAACTAAACTAGTCCCACCTGCCTGCGCTTGGCCCATATCCCTCCATCTTTTCCTATTCATGTATCAAAATACCTTTTAAATGTCGTAACTGTACCTGCATGCACGACTTGTTCTAGCAGTTCGTTCCACGCACGAACCAATTTGTATTAAAAAAAAAAGTTGGCCCTCATGTCCTTTTGAAACTTTCTCCTCTCACCTTAAAAATATGCACCCTAGTTATGGACCTCCACCACCGCGCCCCCCCCCCCCCCCCGCCGACCCTAGGGGAAAAAGACCTTTGCTATTCACCATTATCTACATTCCTCATGATTTAAAAAAACCTCTATAAAGTCACCCATTGACCTCCTGAGCTCGTGCGAAAAAAGTCTCAGCCTATTTTTATAACTCAAACCCTCTATTCCTGGCAACATCCTGGTAAACTTTTTCGGAACCCTCTTCAACTTAATAATATCCTTCCTATAGCAGAGTGACCAGAACTGCACACAATACTCCAGAAGAGGCCTCACCAATGTCCTGTACAACCTCAACATGACATCCCAACTCCTTTACTCAAATGTCTGAGCAATGAAGGCAAGTGTGCTAAACACCTTCTTAACCACCCTGTAGACATGTGATGCAAATTTCAAAGAATTATGTACCTGAACCCCTAGGTCTCTCTGTTCTGCAACATTACCCAAGGCCTTACCATTAATTGCATAAGTCCTGCTCTTGTTTGTTTTACCAAAATGCATTTATCCAAATTAAACTCCATCTGCCACTCATCGGCCCATTCACCCAATTGTAACTAATAATCTTTGCACTCTTATGCAACCTTCTTCACTATCCATTATACCACCAACCTTCGTGTCATCTGCAAACTTACTAACCATGCTTCCTATATTCTCATCCAAATCGCTTATATAAATGACAAACAAAAGTGGACCAAATACCAATCCCTGTGGAACACTGCTGGTCACAGGCCTCCAGTCCGAAGAACAACCTGCCACCACCACACTCAGTCTCGTACCATCAAGCCAATTTTGTGTGCCATGTGATCTAATTTTATTAATTAGCATACCATGCGGAACCTTGTCAAAGGCTTTATTAAAGTTCATGTAAACAACATCCACTACTCTGTCCTCATCAATCTTTTTGGTTACTTCCTTAAAAAACTCAATCAAGTTTGTGAGACATGATTTCCCTTACACAAAACCATGTTGACTGTCCCAAATCAGTCTTTGCCTCTTGAAATGCATGAAAATCCTATCTTTCAGAATCACCTCCAACTTAAGCACCACCAATGTCAGGCTCACAGGTCTATAGTTGCCAGACTTTTCTTTACATCCTTTCTTAAATACAGGCAAAAGCATTATTCACCCTCTAGTCCTCCAGCACCTCACCTGTAGTTATAGATGAACAACGAACCAGCTCGGCAAGCCAACCAATCACAACACCCACAACCCGAGCTACATATCTACTCCAAAACCTTAGAAATTATTTCTGCTAGGGGCTCCGCAATTTCATCCCTCACTTCTCACAATGTCCGGGGATACACTTGATCAGGTTCTGAGATTTGTCTACCTTTGTTTTCTAAGATTTCCAGCAGTTCCTCATCTATAATGTGAACTGGTTTTCAAAACATCAGTATTTATTTCCCTGAGTTCTCTAGCCGCCATTTGTTTCTCTACAGTAAAAACTACCGTGAAATGTTATTTTAGTATCTCTACTTCAAGCTCATGCTTGAAATGCAGCAGTTAAATGAGTTCCCTTTCCTCAATATCCTAAGTGAGAAATTAGCCTGGGTGTTCTTTACCACTGTTATCGCGAACCTACCTAGTCAGTGTACATGTTGGGATTCCTGCAGTTTCACACGCTACAAGATTAACCTCATGAGCAACTTGTAAATAGAGCTCTAAGCCATTTGTTCCCTATGTAAACGCAATATTGAAATAGGGTGTATCAAATCAATCCTACAGTCTAATGGCTGCCGTATTCAGATCCTCTCTCACTGTACATCACTATATATCTTGGTTCTGAAAAATGTCCAGTCTACCTCCAATTGCCTTGGAAGTGCAGGGTAGCTCAAATGTCTGAGCAACATGTGAAGCTAGGTGTCTCATGTGGCAAATAGCAACAGTGGTATTTGTCACTAACAGGTGTTCATCTCAAGCCAAAAAGACCTCCTGCAAATCACACAAATGAGTTATGCGGTATATGAATTTTGGTTATGTATGGCCATATGTGCCAAAGAATGAGTGATCACATCAAACAGCATGTCCCTTTGGCTGTTCACAACAAGAAGGGTAGTGACTGTACCAAAACAAACCATGCTTGCAAAAACAAAGTCTAACATTTGGACAAGATTTGCCAGACCATTCTGAGTGTGTGATATATTACGTTGACAATCATTTAGGATCATCAAAGCTCACACCGGGCTGCTTAAATATACTGGAAGCTACATGTATTAATGTACAAAGCCCTGTTCTTTACAGATAAAAAGAACATGGACGCATAATGTGCTTGTTTCAACTCAATAAAACAGATGACAGCCATGCGCTGCTTCATTTCCCAGGACAATTCAGTAACCAATCAGAGCCAACCTGTCTGATTTAAAATTTAAACAAAGCCTGTAAGTTAGCTGTCAATCACCACTAACTAGCAGATTCTCAATGATGCTATCAGAGTTTACTTGTCAGCCAGTGCTTCCCTCGCATACAACATAAATGTTGGTTTCGTCCTTAGATCTGTATTTCTTGTAAATTGTCCTGATGAATGCAAGATGAAAAGCAATGAAAAGCATTTTCCTAATGCAATACTCAAGTTCTGTAGTACAAAATGACTATTTTTCTGACCAGTTCAGCTCAAATATTGTGCTTATTGCTCAGGCTTATGAATATGGTTCTCTTTTCATTTCATGCACATATATCAAATATTTTACATTTTTATTTTAAATCTTAAAATTAGGTAATTGCATGGCATTTCTCCACTTTCTGGTACCTGTTCAATTCATTCCTAATTTCTGCCAATTCCTGTCGTTCTGTTTTAACTACTTCTTTCTCCTCAGCTGCCAGGTAACGCAACCTCATATGTTCAAGTTCTTGTTGTTGCTTCTTAAGTCGTGCCATAGCATTTTCTTGCTCACGCTAAAACAAAACACATTAAAATAAAATTGCCATCAGTGAATTCCTTTCCAGACTCAATTACTAACAGCTTACAAATGAGATTTAAATTTATTTAACTAGCTTTCCACTGATAATTCAACAATTGCATTTTTAACTGATTCATCGCTAAAGTATATTGAACAGTGTGAAATTCCTGTAATGAATTTGATATTTAAATTTATTATTCTAACTGATATGTACTGATTCTGACTCTGTCACTTATTAATGATTCAAGTTGATTATTGAGTAGATGGAGAGTTGCTTTGCCTGTTTACACATTAACCCTTATGTCCTGTAGAGGATGCTGCAATTTTGACCAGTCAACTGACTGAAACTTTCAGTGCAAAAACTCATAGGAAATCTAACATCAGATCACAGTCTGGCCATGTACAGTAATCCTGAAGCAGATCCTTAAGTAGAAGTCTACTTGCACTCCAAACAAGAGTGAATGAAGTTTCAAAGTTATTCCACAATTAGAGCGAAAATAAATGAAAGGAAATACTTCTGGTTCTAATACAAAAAAAGCTGCTTTGTAATGTGTTTCCCCCCTGACTGGAACTTATGGGGATGACAGCTCAGGTCTATGTCAGATCATTTAAGGATACTTCTCTAGTTTAACCACTGTTTGTTGAGAAAGTCTGCATGGTATTCATTTCAAATTTTGGTCTCGTTTTGAAAATGGATCTTACAAATATTTGATCAAACAGCACAGCAGCAATGATATGCCTGTTGGAAAACTATCTGATCTCTTCAAAATATGAATATTAACAAGCGAGATAATTATTTATAATGAGGACAATATAAAAGAGTGGGAAAACACAAGTCCTTTCTCAGCTTTACGTAACTTAGGCAACATGAAAGACAGGTTTGTGATGAGCAGAAAGGGTTCCAAAAGTTCAGATGATTCTCCATCTGATGTATGCTTGCCACTGTCTGAGAGTTTGGCATTAAATGCTCAGTTCTTGTACTCTATTGTTTTTATTCTCTATCATAATATTCCTACCTGTATATTAATGTGTATATTAATACTTTCTGAAAACAATGTTTTTGTTTACATACATTTTCACACTTTTGTTCTCAGAAGAAATAAAATTTAATGTGAAATAAATATATTTTGTTTGTTTTAATATTCTGAGCTCTGGTTTGGCACCTTTTGAAGGGCATTATCATAACAAGGTCTTATCATGTGGATCTTATGGATTGTGGAATAGCACAGTCCCAGTGTAATATTTATCTGTCCTACTTTGAAAAGGGGTATTAGAGTTCAGCACCCCATCAAAACAGACAAAATATGATTTTGGTGCTGTATTTTTTTCTGATATCACCTCAAATAAAACACTTGAATCTTCAGGCCACCGTTTCATATAGTGGCAATCCTCAAGCAAAAAATTGCTTACCACATCACAAATTATTTACACATATTGACAACCAAAAAACATCATCAACGTACACCACGTTTCTCAACCTTTTCAAGTGGTCTCACAGTGGGAGCAGCCAAGCTGTTTGAGACAATAAGCAAAGTCATTTTTTTAATAATTGAGATTAATATCATTCCAAAATGTATTGGAAATGATATGCAAGTGACGTAGGATGACATGTTAGTAACACAGATTAATAAATGAAATGTTTCATCACCCCGTTTTAATTTTAATGAATGCATAAACTCTCAAGTAAATGATCTGCCTGTATAGCACACAAAAAAGCATTGTTCACTGTATCTTGGTACATGCGACAACAATAAATCAATTAATCACCTAAAATACAGTACATCACTAAATTAGAAAGAACAAAATTCTTTTTTGCAGGTGTCACTGTTAAGAGGTCTTTCTACCAAGTAAATAAGCATCTTTACTTGGCAGTACTGCCCATAAATCTGAAGAGTTGTTGTAAACACATAGCCATTAGACTAAACAATGGTCAAAAGCTGGTCATTGCACACTGATTGCTAAGCTGTAGCCCAAGCCTTTGGCAGATACTGAAGAACTCAACAAGAGTGGTTTTCTGAAAATAACCAAGAGTTGTCAAGATGACTTCAAGACTTGTTTCTTTTTTACATAAAACTTCTCAATTTATTTTACAAATCTTTAACTAAATTGCTCAGAACTGAATCAATTTTGGGAGAAAAAAGCTAAAATGTTGAGAAGAAGAGCAAGGAGAAGGGGAGTTGCTTAGAACTGACAAGATATTGCTATTTCCAGCAAAGAATATCTTTAGCTTTCAGAGATCACTTTGCAAATATTCTTTAAATACTCCAGGAACAACAATATTAACACACAAAATGAACACAGACAATATAACCAGAACAAATGTAACTTGTCGCACAAATTGTTATTCCAAACTTAAAGTTGGATCAAGTATGGCTGCACATTGATGGTCTGTGTAAAAAAACCTCAAAGATACATCATGTTCTGTCTAAAGTAGACTACAGCTGGATGTTATCATTAACATTTTACTAGGGAGTTTTGATATTTTCTTCTGTGTGCAATAGGTTATGGAAAAGTTTTGACAGAACTTCACAAAGATTTTGGAGCTAAGACATAAGCTGAGATTTCAGACCTACCAGGATTCAAGACCTTAATCAAGGTTTGACATTGTTTTTTGTAAAATAATTAAGTTGATTCATAAAACTTAAGAGCATATGCCAATTGAGGTTCTTGCAGCTGAAGAAATCCTCATATTTAAGCAAAATGTGCAAAAAATACAGAGTTTTTGGGGCAGTCATGATCCAGAAAACACTTGCCCATATGCTGTACATGATGCAGAGTGATGCCAACAGTGTGGGTTCAATTTGCACATCAGTGAGGTTTCCATGAAAGTCTCCCCTTCTGCAACCTCTCCTGAAGCATGGTGACCCCCAGGTTAAATTCACCACCACCACACACACTCTGAGGAAGGGTCACCGGAACCGAAATGTTAACTCTGTTTTCTCCTTCACAGATGCTGCCAGACCTGCTGAGCTTTTCCAGCAACTTTGTTTTTGTTCCTGATTTACAGCATCCGCAGTTCTTTCGGTTTTAAATTCACCACCAGTCATCTCTAATGAGACAGCAGCTTTATGGTCCTCTGGAACAATGGCGACTTCATTTATACCATTGTACCATCTGCACTGTTACAGTGGTGAGTTAAATATATTCTTACAAACAAGATGGTTACAATGTTGGCAAAGACAGTTCAGAAATATGCTCTACAGAGCCTTCTAGTGCCCAGATTCTGAAACTACAGAATAACAAATCAAACATCATTCACTAAGGGACATTAGTGAACCAGATGGGTTCTTTACTGTCACCTTGTCACTTCAAACTGACTAAGTAGTGTAAAGCCTGAGGTAGCACAGAGCTTATTTAAAAAGGAAAAATATTATAAGGTCTATTATTTACTGAAATACACAAATATCTCCATAGCTGTTAACATCAAAATATTGTGATATCCACAAACTAATTCTTGAATATCCCAGCAGCTGTAATTTCTAAACTTATGCTTAAGAAATACACCGCAATCACACAAAATAATGTTTGTCAAAAAATAACTTTTGTTGCCACCTCAGTGACTTCTACTAAAATAAAATGTCGCATTTCTAAAATGTGCTGATGTAAACACTCAGTCTTTGTAGAATATCTAACACCATTGTTAACACCAAGAATACTTGGGCTGAAGGCAACAGCCTCAATGATACCTTAATTAATGACCTCCTACAGCAGCAATTCAAGTTTCTATTTCTCAATTTTATACAGTAATCCTTTTGCAATGTGATTGCTAGGTGCAGATTCATAGGGAGCAGAAAACAGATTATGGTAATCTTGCTTGATAGTTTAAATAGTTGTAATTTAAAATAAAAAGTGAATTACCTAAATTTTCATGTCTGCAGGTACAGGGTGAGAGGATGCAAAAGAGCAAAAGCATTGAAAACGTATGGACAGGGGCAAAGAGAAAGGGTGAATAGAGACTGAGTCTGCAAGAGGGCATTGGCATGATAATAATGGCTCAAGCATGCAAGAAAGATAATCAAAAAGAGAAAGATTAAAAAGATAACATGGTATCAAAAAAGACAATTTTGCTCTAAAAGCAATCACAACAACTTTGCTGGCAGCCTTCCCAATTATATCAATCTTTTTCCATTTGAAACACGGAATTTAAAAAATGATCACTCAAACCACGGTTTACATAGGACACATTTGAAAGGAACAGGAGGTACTTTACCTGTTTTAGCCTTGCTAACTCTTTCAACGCCCGCCCCCACTGCTGCTTATAATGCAGCTTGGATTTTGTGGCTGATTCCAATTTCCTCTCAAATTCCACCTAATAAAAATGTCAAAGGTTGAAATCATAAAGCTAATGTTGTGATATCACTTAAAAAATTACTGCTTCTGTTTTCAGGAACAAGATCTAAATCCATGAACCAGAAGTTTGGCATAATATGCTGAAATTATTTTTTAAAAATACTTTTACGCAGTATTCACTTCATAAGTAATTTATCTCTTGCTCACTTCAGACAGCTGAATTAAATATTAATATCATTGAAACAATTACAATATATAAAAGCTAAATGCTGCAGACACTGGAGATCTGGAATAAAAACCAAGTGCTAAAGAAACTCAGCAAGTCTGGCAGCATCTATGGTGAGAAAAACAGAATTAATATATCGCGTCCAATGACTCTTCTTCTGAATTACAATATATTTGGATTTATACTTGAAGAATCTAACAAATAACATTCAATATGAATATTTATGAGTTTATGAATCGGAATAGTTTTTCCCTATGCACTCTGTCCAGACCCTCATGATTTTGAAAACTTTCATCAAATCTTCTCTCTTAGCCTTCTTCTCTCCAAGGCAAACAGTCCCAATTTCTCCAATTTTTCCTCATAATTGATGTGTCTCATCCCTGGAACCAGTTGTGTAAATGTCTTCAGTGCTCTAACCAATGCAGTCATATGCTTCCTACAGTGTGACACTCAGAACTGTACACAGTATTCTAGCTGAGGTCTAACCATTATTTTACAGGTTTATCATAACCTTCTACTCTAGGCCCCTATTTATGAAGCCTAGAATACTGCATACTTTATTAACATCTCTCTCTACCTGTCCAGCCACCTTTAATGATTTATGCACATATACAACCAGGTCTCCTATACACCCATTACAAAAGCATCCTTAATTTATATTGCCTCCATATTTTTGGTAACAAAATGCATCATCTCACACTGCCCAACATTGAAGTCCATCCACAAATTATCTGCCCATCTACCAAAATGGATGCATGGGGCAAACTTTAGAGATGGTGCTGTGTTTGATTTGATTTGATTTGATTTATTATAGTCACGTGTACCTACAAACAATGAAAAGCTTTATTTGTGAGCTGTACAGGCAGTAAGCAAGGACATACAGATCATTGGGTGCTTAGACAGAGTGAGGCATACAAGTTACACTGCACAGGAGGTGCACGAAGCAAGTTCAATATTAACATTAACAAGATTAACATTATTTGAAGCTACAGAATACATTCATCAGTCTAATAATGGCGGGGAAGAAGCTGTTCTTGAACCTGTTGGTGCTTGTGTTCAAGCTTCTGTATTTTCTGCATGATGGAAGAGGTTGTAGGAGGGCATCACCAGGATGGGAGGAGTCTTTGATGATGTGGGCAGTCTTTCCGTGACAGTAAGAAGTGTAAATGGAGTCCGTGGATGGAACGTTGGCTTCCATAATATTCTGGGCTGTGCACACAACCTTCTGCACTTTCTTATGGTTCTGGGCATAGCAGTTGCTGTACCAGGCCGTTATGCACCCAGACAGTATGCTTTCTATGGTGCATCCGTAAAAGTTGGAGAAGATCCTTACGGACACACCGAATTTCCTAAGCCGCCTAAGGAGGAAGAGGCATTGTTGTGCCTTTTTGATCATCAAAACCACATGGGAAGTCCAGGATGGGTTGTCGATTATTGTCACTCCTAGGAACTTGACACTCTCAACCCTCTCAAGCTCCGTTCCATTGATGTAGATGGGGGTGTGTTCTCTTTGAAGTCAATGATCAGTTCTTTTGTTTTGCCGACATTGAGAGGTTGTTATCATTGCACCACTACACTAAACCCTCTGTCTCCTTTCTATATTCCGACTCATTGTTGGTTGATATCTGTCCTACCATGGTGGTGTCGTCAGCAAAGTTGTAGATGATGTTCGTTCAGAATTTGGCAACACAATCATTGGTTTACAGGGAGTAGTGTAGGGGGCTGAGAACACATCCTTGGCGGGGGGCTCCAGTGTTGAGGGTTATCGTGGAAGAGGTGCAGTTGTCTATCTTGACTGATTGCGGTCTATGCATCAGAAAGCTGAGGATCCAGATGTAAAGGCGGAGCCAAGACCTAGGTCTTGGAGTTTGGAGATCAGTCTGGAAGGGATTATTGTGCTGAAGGCGGAGGTGTAGTCAATGAGTAGGAGTCTGATGTACGTGTTGTTGTTGTCCAGCTCTTCCAGGATTGAGTGCAGGGCTGGGGAAATGGTGTCCGCTGTCGACCTGTTACATCGGTAGGCAAATTTCAGGGGATCTAACCAGGCAGGAGGCTTGATTTGATGTGAGTCATGACCAGCCTCTTGAAGCACTTCACGATTATGGAGGAGAGAGCCAATGGGCGGTGGTCACTAGTGCACATTGCATTAGCTTTCTTAGGTACTGGGATGATGGTCGTCATTGATTGAAGCAGGTAGGACTTCGGCTTATAGGAAGGAGAGGTTCAAGATTTCAGTGAATACCAGCTGGTCCGGATCTAAGTGCATGGCCGGGGACTCCGTCCGGACCCGTTGCTTCTCTTGGGTTGATTCTCAGGAAGATTGACGTTTGTTAAAACATTAAAATAATTCACACCATGGATGAAATTTTCTGCTAACTTGAGTGGCATGAACAATGGCAAGAAAGCTGGCAAAGGATGGCAAGAATGAAAAGAAAAACTAGAATCATTGCATCGAGAAAAAAATTTCTTGATTTTCCCCTGAAGCTTTAAAAGGTGAGTTCAGACTCTCACTATTAAGTGGCTATTATCTTATTTACACGCATGTGCATGTAATCTCCTCTCCTTTCCAGGAACCAACTCCTGACTGAGAAGTCATAGAGAGTAGCTGGTGGCTGCAGCTTGTCACTTGCTGGGCAGTGCCTGTCTTTATCACAACAACCCTGCGTGTTCCATAGATACTGTCCTCCTCCACCCAACCTTCATGAAAATTGGCACTGCCACTGCCCACTGCTCCTGTTGCTGTCAATGCATTCTCACAAAATCATTGATAGCTGAGCCTATAGGATCGTCATCTGCCAGAGGCTGAGTAAATGCCTCATCTCTGGAAGTTCTCCGAGTGGAAACTAACAACAAGCTGTGAAGATGTGGCTGTGATGCACTCACCAATCTGAAGTCCTGAGTCTAACCTAGATAGAGAATCCACTGAGATCAAAATCTCTGAGCTGAAGGTATAAGTAAAAGTCTTACTGGTGCATCCTCTGAAGGTTAGTGGCTTCCTCCTCAAAGGTGGACGTGGAGTGTCTGTTGTTGGCCTCTTCAAGGCAGACGTTCATTGATTGCTGCTAGTAGCTCATAAGAGGACAGAGTAGTGCAAAAGAGATCAAAACTTGTACAGATTAAGACTGTGCTAGTGTTGATAGTAATGGAAAACAGTCCAAAACAATGAAGCTTTTGCTGGGTTTGTCGCCCATTGGGGTCTCTCCCTCCCGAATGGAGTGGTTGTGCTCTTCTCTGGCCAGTTTGTTGCACAAGGAGCCTTATGTCACCACTACTGCCATCACCATCCCCATCCCACTTCTGCCTCTCTTGTTACAAGATTCCATAAATTTCTCAACCCCATTCTCCTGCTTTCTCCCTGTATCCCTTGATCCTCTTGAAAATCAAGAACCTATCTAGCTCTGTCTTAAATATACTCAATGACCTGGCCTCCACAGCCTTCTGTGGCAATGAATTCCATAGATTCACCACTATCTGGCTGAAGAGGTTTTTTCTTAAGCCTGTTCCAAAGGGTCTTCCCTTTACTCTAAGGCTGTGCCCTCGGGTCCTAGTCTCTCCTGCCAGTGGAAACATCTTCCCAACGCCCACTCTGTCCAGGCCGTTAACGTATTCTGTAAGTTTCAATTAGAACACCCCCAATCCTTTCAAACTCCATCAAGTATAGACCCAGAATCCTCAAACGTTTCTCATATATTAAGCCTTTCATTCCTGGGATCATTCTCATGAATCTCCTCTGGACCCGTTCCAGGGCCAGTATATCCTTCCTGAGGTATTAGGCTCCAAATTGCTCACAATACTCTAAACGTAGTCCCAACACTGACCCTTGTGGAATACCATCGGTCACCAGCTGCCATCCTGAGAAGGACCCTTTCATTCCCACTCTCTGCTTTCTGGCAGATGGCCAATGTTATATCCATGCTAGTACCTTGCCTCCAGTACCATGGGCCCTTGCCTCATTCTGCGGCCTCCTGTGTGGCACCTTGTCAAAGGCTTTCTGGAAGTCCAGGCAGATAACATCCATTGGCTCTCCTTGGTCTAACCTGCTTATTACCTCCTCAAAGAATTCTAACAGATTCTTCAGGCATGACCTCCCCTTGATGAAACAATGGTGACTTTGCCCTATTTCATCATGCACTTCCAAGTAATCAGAAATCTGATCCTTCACAATGGACTCCAAACTCTTACTAACAACCGAGGTCAGGCTAATAGGCCTGTAATTTCCCATCTTTTGCCTTACTCCCTTCTTAAACAGGGGGTTACATTCGTGATCTTCCAGTCTTCTGGAATCCTTCCTGGCTCCAGTGATTCCTGAAAGATCACCACTAATGCCTCCACTATCTCCTTCAGAACTATGGGGTGTAGTCCATCCGGTCCAGATGATTTATCCACCTTCAGATCTTTCAATTCTTCTAGCATCTTCTCCTTGGGGATGGCCACCATACTCACCTCTGCAAGCCAACCCCCACCAACTCTCTTGAATTTTTGGAATATTACTTGTGTCTTCTACTGTGAAGACTGACGCAAAGTGCTTATTCAGTTCCTCAGCCATTTCTTTGTTCCCCATTACTGCTTCTCCAGAGTCATTTTCCAGCGGCCCAATGTCCACTTCTGCCTCTCCTTTGTTTTTTATATATCTAAAGAAACCCTTGCAATCTTCCTTTATAATACTGGCTAGCTTACCCTCATATTTAATCCTCTCTTTCTTATTTCTTTCTTTGTTATCCTCTGTTGGTCGTTGCAGGCTTCCTAGTCCTCTGACTTCTCGTTGTCCTTTGCCGCTTTATATGCTTTCTCTTTTGCTTTTATGCTGTCCCTGACTTACCTTGTCAGCCATGGTTGCCTCATCTTCCCTTTAGTATGCTTTTTTGTCACTCGGGTTGAGTTTTTGCTATATCTCCTGAATTACTCCCAAAAACTCCTGCCATTGCTGTTCTACTGTCTTTCCTGCTAGGCTCCTCTCCCAGTCAATTCTGGTCTGCTCCTCCTTCATGCCTCTGTAGGTGCCTTTATTCAACTGTAATACAGCTACATCTGATTGTATTGTATACCGAAGTAGTGGAAATGCCATTCTCATTCTAAAGCGGCCCATTCTGGTCCCCATGTGACATTTCCTCAAGTGGATAAAAAAGTCTTAATTAATGAGGGAGTAAATTGGCTGCTATGCCTGGAGTGAGTTTTTATCTTGGGCTTAGGTCCAAGATTCAAACATGTTGAGTCATACTGGAATTTTTTCATCAATATATGACACTACTTTGCATCAACTTGAAGATGAAAGAACATATGCAGCCTTCAGTTGGTATTCCACTATCTTAAGAACTAATCATATTGAGAAACAAAACAACAAATTGTATTCAAAATGAATTTTCCATGAGTAATGATTCAAAAGATTGAGCCAATCATACTTGACAGCAAAGCCTATAAAGCTGAAGAGAAGGGAGATGAGTATTTCTGGTCAAAGAATCAATGGTAGTTCCTGAAGAAATATGATAGCAAAATTCAGAGCATTTTGAGGAATTGACACTTCCATGCCAGAAGTCCTTAAAAATGGTTGGAGCGGGTGTAGTTCAATGAAAAACTAGTCTGGCATCTAAACATTTCACGAAACTTTTGGTATGAAGGATAGATCAGTATTTTTTATAACTGTGGGACGGTTTTGAGAATAAAATATGCTGAATTTTTGAATTGCCTAAGCTTTTATATCTTTTAACAAACAAACGATCAGCTCAGGGCACATAATGGCCTAGTGGTATTATCACTAGCCTACTAATCAAGAAACGCAGCTAATGTTCTGGGGATCTGGGTTCAAATCCCACCACAGCAAATGGTAGAATTTGAATTCAATAAAAGAATCTGGAATTAAGGGTCTAATGATGACCACGAATCCATTTTTGATTGTCGGAAAAAACCCATCTGGTTCACTAATTTAGGGAACTTTTAGGGAAGGAAACTGCCGTCCTCACTTGGTCTGGCCAACATGCAATTCCAGACCCCAAAGCTATGTGGCTGACTGTTAATTGCACTCTGAGCAATTAGGAAAGGGCAATAAATGCTGGTAAACCCACATCTTGTGAATAAATAAAGGGGGCGAAAAAATTGCTTTCTTATGGACCTTCTCATAATCCATAACTGCTAAATATAAAATATGTTTAATGAAGCAAAATGTGTGAGCCTGTGGAACTCTCAGTCACAGAAAGTGGTTGAGGCCAAAATATTGCATTATTTGCAAGAAGAAATTAGGTATATTTCCTGGGCTAAATGGATCAAAAGAATGGGGAGAAAGCAAGAATGCAGTACTGAATTGGGTGCTTAGCCATGATCAAAACAAATGGCAGAGCAGGCTTGAAGGGCTAAATGGCCTACTCCTGCTCTTGCTATGTTCCTATGTTATGGCTCACTGAGATTCTGGTAAATTACATTATGCAACAGAAAAACCTATTCTGGAAATTGCTTAAGTTTAAACAGAAATGTAATACATTTCATACTACGTTACTGCTAAATTGCAGCAACTTAGAAGAAAATAGCTACATCAGTTTGTTTACGTTATCAACTTTGAAAAATCTAACATTTGTGAATGACTTGCACATGAAAGGTAACACAATAATTTCAAAAGAAAAAGCCTTCATGATCCCAGTTTCATGTTCCATTGGAAGTTAAATAGCTATGTGAAAAACGATTAGTACAGATTGTATAGCTTCTACTTAAACTAGAGTGAAAAATCAGCATCTTTACATTTATTCTCATGATGACGTTTTCTTTTTCTATCACAAAAAAAATTATGTCAATCTGTCTGGATTTTATTCTCTACAAAGATAAAATATAATGATTAAGCTTGTAATTACAAAAATGTCTAATTATTTGCTTATTTTCAGGGTTTTTTTCATCCAGTTCGTCTCACCAAAAATAGCATTTTGTTGGAGCAGTCTACTTCAATAGAACATTCAAAAGAAACATTTTTGGAGTTAATCACTCCCTTTAAAAAGGAACAAACATATATGAGGTTGTTACACTGATTTCCCTACTTTAGTCTGGGAACTAAACAATATAATAGACATCCAAATGCATTTTACCTTTTCAAGAGTCAAAAGATTGATCTCTGACTGAAGTCGAATTTCAGGTTTACTACTCTGCTGCTCCTTGTACTGATGGAACTCTTTTTCAAGTAGTTTGTATTTCTGTTCTGCTTCATGGAGCTAGATAGAATTCATGAAAGGAAAAAAAGCTTTCAAGAAACTAAAGGAAGTCAGCTTATCCTTTAGACATTAAACAGATGCTCTAAAAATTCACATTCAAAATAAATGGGTTTTTAACACAACTGAAGTACATGCTGACTAACAGCAAGATATCTGAACACTGACCAAACTGTGATTTAAAAATGGATGAATAATTTCATTGTTTACATCCTGCTGACAATGCCAGTGAGGATACTAAACAGCAACACATAACTGGCTAATTCTTCTACAGCAGATCATTATTTATCCATCTATTCAGTTAACACTTTGGCAGTTTACACTACATTGCCATAACTTTTTAATATATACACTGTACAATGTCCAAGTGTAATTTAATAAATAGACCAACTGATGCACTGAGAACACAGGCTTTAGGATGTTTCTCTAATAAGAAAATGAAAACTATTCTTCCTACTGATGACTAATTTTAATTTATAAAACAATGAGGTCATTAATTAATGACGAAATGTTGAATGCTGCAATGCAAAAACAATCTGTTTTTGATGAGAGTTAAAACTGAAGTTTTAATTAATGCAGTTTCTTAGACACAATTCTAAGTTGCTAAAAAGTATCTGCAACTTAACAACCATGGAAATTAGTCTGAATACAATCATAAACAACAGATCATCTGAAAATGTATAATGGTTAGCATAGTGCCCAAGTATGTGAAAATATTATATATAAAAATTATAGTCCTGACCAGGAGCTTTTTTGGATGGATGGAGCTCGTAAAATAGGCCCACAGTCTGGGAAGGAACAGTAGATACACTTAGCTATACTAAGTTTATAGTGTTTCATTGAATAGGCAGTAAAGATGGGAAAGGCCTGGTTATAGATCACACTTTTCCACAACTGTGGGAACACATGTAATTGAATTTATTACCTATGAAACCCAAATGAAACAAAGGCATAGATTTAGTTCAAAACAGTAGCTGCTTTACAAAACTTACTTGACGAATAGTTTAACATTTTATTAATAAGTAGCAAAATGTTGCAAAATAAACTGACAGCGAAAACAGAAAATAGAAATGGATCAAAGACTAGAGCAGCTCATATTTAATTTAGTTTCAGGTGCATTCAATCTAGATAGCAGAAATTTAAGATCCCACCTTCCACAAGTTGGTCACCTAGGCCCATGTAATAGTAATTACACTGGAAGAGAGCCTTCTTACGTGGTCAATGAACAATGAGAAGTTTTCATTCCAGTGAACGAATTACAATTAATTCAAAAGCTAATTATTGGTAATTGGTTTGGAATTTTATTGCTTCGTATAGCAGTGCTGTCAATTTTTGTTAACAATGTAGCAGAGAGCTATCCCAACAACTAATATATAGCCCTCGATTCCTTTGAATATTTTTGTGCAGTAGATTACTGAATTGCTTTTAATCAGTTACCTTTTGGTCAAAGAATTTTAAGATCTTAGATGAAGGTGAAGAGAATATTTTTTAACTCTATGATAGTATATCAAAAGTTCTTTGTACTTGCAATTGTGATTTGAGATCTTATATTGTGATTTGAGATCTTATATTGTCACTTGAGCAGGCAAAAGCTGAAAGCATTGTACTGAGCTAGATGTCTAAACTGTGTGTTCAAATTGTGAAGTGGGAGTTGCATCAATGATCCTCTAACTGGCAAGTAAGTGTGCCATCTCTGAGCAAAGAGGCATGGAACTTTCTTAGATGAAAAATACTGACGTCTGCAACTGGGTGCATTTGTACAACTAAGTTCTGGATTTAAGATAAAATAGTGGCATAAAAAAGTAGTCTGAATATTTTTGAGTGCACCTATAAATCTACATGGCTAGATTTTGCATGTTCCTATTAGGTGTGTTTTTGGAGGGGGCGTGTGGGGGAGAGAAAGGGGGTCATATAAAACAGGCCTACAGTCTGGGGAGAAATGCTGGATGTACTCTGCAAAACTAAGTTTATAATGTTTCACCGAGTAGGCACTGAAGATGGGAAAGGTCTGGGGAAGAGCAGGGTGTAGACGTCTGACATCATGCTGTGATATTGAGGCCATTATGCAAGACCACCTGGTGCTACCTTTCATGGAGATCCAGATAAATGAAGACAAATGTAATGGCAAATTTAATTTATAAGTGCAAATACACCAGAAAGAATACTTAACGTGGTGCCATTGCGAAAATACCTATAAGTATGAAGCAATTCAAATTGTATGCTTTATTGACAAGATTATGAGCACAATAGACTAAGAACAAACTGATCATAAAGAGTTACTATTGCTTGGAAACAGTATCTTAATTTGTCTTGGACTAGCAATCCTTTTCCTCACCTGCTGTTGTAAGCGAAATTTATCTTGTTCCAACTGGTTAAATTTTAACTTCTCCAGTTCCACCTGACGGACAGAATCTTCCGTACAACGTCTTGTGGTCTCTTGCATTTCTCGCAAACTCCGATCATGCTCATCCTGTAACTCTCTCCTCAACCTCTGGAGCTATATACAGGATAATAGTTTGAAAACTTTCAGATAAACACAATGACAAACAAGATAATTAATAAAATACTCCTGATACAGTAACTATTTTTGTTAATTCCTGTACAGGGTATGGGCAGTATTGGAAGTGCTTAGTGTCCAGTCCAATTGAAAAGGCATTGATAAGTCATTGCATCCCTCGTGAAGATATTTTCCACAGTGCTGTTAGGTATGGAATAACTGGTTTTGACCCAGCAATAGAGAAGGATACCAGATATTTAACTGCTACTCTGTGAAACCTGTTTGCATGCCATAATACAACTTTCAACTGATCAATAAACTGTTGGTTCATTTGATCTACTCTAATCTCATACACATTTTGCATGGTTGAGAGGGCTGACCACTTAACAAATTCGAGTGGGATCAGACCTTTAGCTTAGTCTTACTTTTTCCAACTACATTTATCAATGAAAGTTCACTTTGAGTGCAGTGCTGTGAAAGTTTAGAAGCATACTATAAATGGTGATGAAACAAATGTGACTTAATTCATGACAATTGGAAAAAATGTTACATTTAAGTGCTTTGAAAATTACAGTAATCTGGACTAGTTATTTCAGGGCAGTTCACCTAGGTGAGTTTCAGCATCAGTAACTCTTAGCCATTGATTTAGTGGTCAGTTATAGACTGGTCCTTAGAAAGGTGAGGGTTTGACAGTCTGAGGTTATGTGGGTCTGTTAACAGACTTGGTGTCACATGATGAACTTCGACCTCATATTCATGCCATCTATGTAAGAATGCCTCTTTTAATCTCTGTAACATCACTCAAATTCACACTTGACTCAGCTCATCTACTGTTGAAATCCTCATCCATGCCTTGGTTACTTCTAGACTTGATTATATCAACATGATTTTGGCTAGTTTCCCACATTCTATTCCCTATAAACATCAGATCATCCAAACCATTGCCATGTCTTAATTTGTGACATGCCCTATTTATCCATTGCCCCTGTGCTCAACAGGATCAAGCTACAACTTGATTTTGAAAATGTCATGCTTGTTTTCAAATCACTCCATGGCCTGTTACCTCCCATCTCTGTGATCTCCTCTAGTCTCACAACTCAGTAAGATTTTCGTACTCCTCTAATTATTGTCTTTTCTGCATTCCCAATCATAATTGCAGCACTTTTGGAGTTGTTAAATTCCCAACTCTGGAATTCCCTTGCTCCACATCATCTTTAAGACATTGCAAAAAAATTACCTAATATGTCTTTTGTGGCTCAGGATCTGTGTCATACTTTGTTTTGTTACACTCCTGTGAAGTGCATGGATATATATCATTCTGTTGAATAAATAAAATTTGTACTTGTCAAAGATAAACCGGATTCATTTTGTGCTCTTGACGAATACCTTGGCAGGGCACAAATTAAAACATTCCTAATGATTTACTTTGTACACCACTCATGCAGTAGAAGTCCTTAGGCCTACAAGGTGCTTCCCTCCCTCTCCATTTCATCATGACAATTCAGCAAGAGACAGTTATGCAGCCAACCATACATGCAATGTTAATTTTCAGTTTTCAAAAAGGCACATTTTCTAGGTCAAAGAATTTGAATCGAATCCCAATTTTGCTTACAATTTCAGTTTTGAGTATTAAAACACTGTCCATGAGATATTGACAAAACAGCAATAGATTATTCTTTTGAAACAGAAGCTATATTGTAATTTATCAAAAAGGAAAGACTGAAGCCAAAACTAAGAGGACTTCTTTTTAGCCAATGAGATGAGGCATCTGAATTATTTCATCAAGCAAAATGACAATTTTTTTCTAATCTAAGCTCTAAATTTTGTATTTATCATTTCAACTTGGAAGTAATCATCACACAGATAATATTTAAATCACATTGCAGGAATTGGTATGTCCAGTGATGTGAAAGGTCAAATCAACATTTTGTTTTACGTTATAGATGAAAAATAAATTGTGATCAACTTTACACAGTTCACTTGAATACAAAGCTCGTCAGGCATTCCTCAAAAGTAATTTACTATTAGCATACAAGATTGAACAAAAAAAAACCATACTTATTGATTTACTGAATAACTCCAGCACGAGAAAGGGAAAAGGAAAAGAAAAATAAATCTTCTAAATAATGTTCTGATTATAGCACGGTCCAGTTCGACTTAATTGTAATCATAAAGAATATTAAAACTAAAAGTCTGCTTGCCTATTCAATAAGATTAAAAAAACCCAAGGCAACCTCTGAAAATCACAGTTCCCAGTATCCCATGGGGATTTATGCCTCAATGAACTGTACTAAAAACATTAATATGTTCAATTCTGGTTTCCCTGCTATAGAAAAGATGTTGTGAAACTTGAAAGGGTTCAGAAAAGATTGACAAGGATGTTGCCAGGGTTGGAGGGTTTGAGCTATCGGGAAAGGCTGAATATGCTTGGGGGCTATTTTCCCTGGAGCATTGGAGGCTGAGGGGTGGCCTTATAGAAGTTTATAAAATCATGAGGGGCATGGATAGGGTGAATAGCCAATGTCTTTTCCCTAGGATAGGGGACTCCAAAACTAGAGGGAATAGGTTTAAGGTGAGTGGGGAGAGATTTAAAAGGGACTTAAGGGGCTACATTTTCATGCAGAGGGTAGCACGTGTATGGAACGAGCTGCAACATAAAGTGGTGGAGGTTGGTATAATTACAACATTTAAAAGGCATCCAGATGGATATATGAATAAGAAGGGTTTAGAAGAATATGGGCCAAATGCTGACAAATGGGACGAGATTAATTTTACGATATCTGGTTGGCATGGACGAGTTGGACTTGAGGGTCTGTTTCCATGTTGTACATCTCCAAGTCAGTATTGCTGATTTGAATACCTTGCCATGTGCAAATTGTTATTTAGACAGAAACAGAAGTCAATCACAAGACTTTAAAAATAATTAATTAGCTGCAAATCATTTTGTGACACTCAGAAAATGATAGGCATTTCTAAATGTGGCAATATAGCACCTCTGTCATTAAGTCTCCATTATTAGCATTTTGTCGCTACTGCCCAGGAGTTTAATTGGATCAATCATCGCAAAGAGTTAACTTATTGAAAAAAAAATTATTTACTTCTTGACCTTTGAAAGCAACTCCAGTCGCTAACAGCTCAAGTCAAGGTTGCAATGGGATAGTCAATTTTCTGTACGGCCCAAATTTAACTCAACTCAAGAAGTTCAGTGACATCTAGAACATAGCAGTTCAATTGCTGCTGTTCCATCATTAAACTCAATATCCATTTCTTTCACTAACAGTAAACTGTGACTGTAGTATATTACACCTGCAGCATACGTTGCAATACTTCAAGTACACTTCACTTTGAGATTGCAGCCCATAACCTCCATATCAAAGAGCAAGATCCCATGTTCATGGGAATATAGCTCATGTCATGTACCGTCCTAACTTGGGTATAGACTGCTGTTCCTCAATTGCATTATCAATACCCTAGAATTCCGTACTCAATACCTTAACTGCAGTGATTCAAAAAACCCACCACTACCACCTACAGGAATATGGGGTGATGTGCAATAATTTCCATCTTGACAGCAATGCCCAAATACCAAGAACAAATCTTTGCTTTAAATCCTTTTAATACATTAAATTTACTTTACAATGTAATTTTACATTGCAACTAAAGTAAAAGGTCACATTTTCATGAAAGAGGCAGAAGAGTGTCAACTAAAAAGCAAAGTTATATTATTTTGCACCTTCAATTTATAAGAAATTTTAACCACAATCACCTCCACTTCACCATTAGCAAGCTGTCTCTCTCTTTTTTCCAAATCTGCCAATGTTTTTTGTAGTCGTTCCTCAAGTGCAGCATATTCAAGCACCTATCATCAATAACAAAAGAATGCAAAATTATGAAGTTTCTTTTCAGTGCAGCGTTGATAATTTGCAAAAATCTTACAAATCATAAATAGACAAGTGGTTCCCCACCTTCGGACTGAATCTCAAAAATAGGACAGAAGCCTCATTTACCATTTTCAGTTATTAAGGCAATTTATCTCATCATAATTCAAACAAAGGTAAGCAAGGAAAAAGGGTATTGAGATCTATTACGAACGGATATACTTGTTGGTCTTAATACAGTTCCTTTTACTTCAAGCTTTCTCACCATTAGGATTTGTAACCTGTTTACCAACTTTTCCTACAACACGTTTTGAATTATAATAATTAAATGCTTATACCACTCCTTTGTAATGGTGAATAGGAATTTTACATGTTAAGGAAGTTTTAAAAAGGTTCGATGAACCTTCTGAGCATTTTACAAAGGTCAGCTGGACTTATTTAAAAATACCCCAAATGTCAGTGCACCAGTAGAAGTCTAAATATCATAAGCACATCTTTAAAAAAGTTGTGCAGCCTTCTATGCACTTGCAAAGAATTTGTGTTTTTAATTTCAGGCTTTGAACATTTTCAGTTTTCATTTGTATTTTACAAAACCAAACTTTGATTACTAGTTAAAATAGGTATTATTACAGATCATGTAGAGAATCAAACAAAGGTGAAATCCAAGGCAACTTTACTTCAGCTGACCAAACATGAGTATTAAATCGATTCTAACTGTTTAGCCAGACAGACAAACAATAGTCATCACTATACTGAGCTAAGTTAACATTTATTGTTCTAAGTATGTCGCTGCTTAAATGCATCAGAAATCAGTGTCAATCTTTTAATGACATACATTACTATGCCTTCTCTCTTTGTCAAATGTTACAAATGAGAGAGGAGTTTCTTCTGCATTAAATATCCCAGAACATTACATTGAGTTGCAGAGGAAAACAGGTTTATTTAACTGCATCTCATCAACCCTGTATCAACGTACTGAAATGCAAAATGTGCCTCACATCTATACAAAATTATGACAACAAGGGTAAACTAGCACTCAAATACAACACCAATTCTAGTTCTGGCTGCTCAATGAAACCATTTCAATTTAACTTTCAGGGATGAATGAATTTGAACTCCTATGTCACTGTTGCTGAGCACTATTTAGTACCTTTTCCAAGTAGTTTGATTTCAACTTCTGATTCCACAAAATATGCAACCTCACACTTACTGACTACAGTCTGTTTGCCCATTTCCCAAAACAGCACATACTTTCCTGATTTTTGTTCTTAGTCAAATCTCTTTTCTGTTGTGAACAAGTTGAGGTGTCCCTGATGCAAGTTCAAATTATTGATATACTCCCAAGTATAAAAGTGGAGCCAACATCTATCCCTGAGCAAATCTACTTCCAACTCTTGCCTTTTGCATAAATAATTTTCACTAAATTCATCATTACAAGCAACAATTATTTATCTAGCACCTTTAACATATTAAAACGTCCCAAAGCACTTTGTAAGTGTTTCTAACAAACTTTGACACTATGCCATATGGGGAGATATTAGGGCAGATAAACAAAAGCCTGATCAAAGAGGAGTTTTAAGGAACACTTTAAAGGAACACAAAGAAGCAGAGCACAGCAGAGCTTAGAGTGGGAATTCCAGATCTGAGGGTCTTAGCAGCTGAAGTTAAAGCTGCTTAGCTGAGAACATTGAAGGTCAGCAAAACACATGCAAAGTCACATTCAATCAAGAGTTAAGAGATTAGCTGCAGGGTCCCGAAAAAGTTGCAGTTTAAAAGATGGCATAGGAGGCTAAACAGGACAGCATTGGAATAGTCAAGCAGAGAGGCACACAAGATCTTCTGGCAGAGACCAAACAGCATGACTTCAGTAATCTTCCTAATATTTTGTTGGAAGCTATTTCTGCACATCCAGTTTTTCATATTAGACAAGCAGTCTGATGATTTGGCTAAGTTGGAGAGCAAAAAGAAATGGTGCAGAGACAGAACTGATGGTGTGAATAAATCTGTGAGAGCTGTAGTATTATCAGATGATTTCATCTGGGCTTATGTGTTGATAAGAAACAGGAGAAAGCCAAGATTAAATTTTGAGGGACGCCAGAGGTAACAGAGTTAGGACAGGAATAGAAGTCATTTAATGTGATAGATATAGAAAGGTTATAGGACCAGGTGAGAGTTGTCCCAATCAGCAAGACAACAGACATTGGAGAAATATGGGGTAGTCTTACTATGTCAAAGGCTGCAGTTAGGTCTAGAATGACAAGAAGGGTTTGCTTACCACTACCACAACCACAAAAAATGACACTTCTGATTATTTTCTGTTCATTCACAAGATCAAACATTGCTTGCTAGGTCAGCACTTACTGACCATCTCGAACTGTCCTTAAGATAGGATCATGCGCTGCCTTTGTGAACCGCTACAGTCCTTGTGGAGTAGGGATACCCATAACGCTGTCGAGGAGAAGGTTCCAGGATTTTGACCCAGCAACAGTGAATGAGTGGTGATACGGTTCCAAGTCAGGATGATATATGACATGGGGGCAAATTGCATGGTGGTGTTCCCATGTACCTCCTACCTTGTCTTGTAGATGGTGGAAATCGCATGTTTGTAAGATGCTCTCTAAGGAGTCTTGGTGAGTTGCTGCAGTGCATTTACTGGACGAATCAGCAATAAGTGAATATTGCAGGGATTGGATTTGGCACCAAACCAATGGATTGCTTTGACCTGGATGGTGTCAGATTTCGCAAGTATTACCAAAGCTGCACTCATCCAGGTAAGTGGACAGTACTCTACATTGCAGATTTGTGCCTTTTAGATAGTAAACAGGCTTTGACAAGTCAGGAGGTGAGTTCCTCACTATAGAGCTCCTAGCCTCTGACCTGCTCTTGTAGCCACAGTATTTATGTGGCTAGTCTAGTTTGGTTTCTGGCCTATGGTAACTGCAGGATGTTGTTCATAGCTGATTCAGTAATGCTACTGCCATGGAATGGTCCTTGGTTGGCGCCTACGTGGCACCAATGCAACTTGCCATTAACAGCCCAAGTCTGAATGTTGTCTGGCTCTTGATGCATTTGGACACAGACTGCTTTGTTATCTGAGGAGTCGTGAATGGCAGTGACCACTGTGCAAGCAAGAATGGAGGGGAGGCGATGGCCTAGTGGTATTACCACTGGACTGTTAATCCAGAGAGCCAGATAACATTCTGGAACCCAGGTTCGAATCCCGCCACGGCAGATGGTGGAATTTGAATTCAATAAATATCTGGAATTAAGAATCTAATGATGACCATGAATCCATTATTGATTGTCGGAAAAACCCATCTGGTTCACTAATGTCCTTTCAGGAAGGAAACTGCCATTCTGGTCCAGCCTTCATGTGACTCCAGGCCCACATCAATGTGGTTGACTCTTAACTGCCCGATGGGCAATAAATGCTGTCTAGCCAGTGATGCCCTCATCCCCTAAACTAATAAAGGAAAAAAAAATGAACAACCCTACCCACGATCTTATAAATCTTAATTAATGGTGGACATTTGGACAGGACGCAGAGAATTCTATTTTCCGTTTCAAATAGTGTTGTGGGATCATAAAGACAGAGAGGCTTTGTTGGACATCTTATTTCATAACAGCATTAGAATCTTTGGGCAGGAATATTGCAGTCAAGAATGGCTCGGCAATTTGGATAGCAGTATTAAGATTTGGAGCTATTCAGCAAGTGAGAAAAGAAGATCTAAAGCTTTTCTTTAATCCAACCTCCAAGGAAGTCATTTGCCATTGTTTAAAATCCAGCTTTTCTATTTATAATATACACTTATACTAGCTATATTTTAGTACATAGAGTAAAAATGCATGTGGCTATTTAATTTATAAATACATAGCCCTTTACTGGGAAAGCAATGTTTGGCTCAGGAGCTAGCCTTAAATTCTTGACAAGTTTACTGCTACTTCACCTTTTTCTTCACAAGTGCTTCCCTTTCTCGGTCTCTCTTCTTCCACTCTTCAGCAAGGGCCTGCATGTGAGCCAGTTCTTTGTGCTTCAACTATTAGCAAGAAACATAATACATTAGCCACTTAAAAACCACAAAAAAAATTATCCACATAGAACACAAGATTTATTCAGACAATTAATCAAGGAGCCTGCGAAGAAATGAAGAAAATTAAGGAAAAATGGGGAAATGGTTAATACTTTTGGAGTTACATAATATTTAAGTTGTAGTTAAAAATATAAAAAGCTCAAGTATAAGGGAGTTGCTTTCAATGTTATACAATTAGGTTGGCCCCAATTATACCAATGGTCCAAATATAGTTTTCCACCTTATCATCAGCAACAAGTTACTTGATAAATTTGGGTTTGTTGCTGAACAAGCAGGATTTACCTGATCCTGAAACAAATCTTCTTGTACTTCTTTCCACATTTCCAACTCTAATGCAGCTTTATATTCCATTGTCTCACGAGGCCCAGGTTCATGACCAGGCTCTGAAGCCTGAACAGGCTTAGCTGAAGGATCAGGCTGTTGCTGGTATCCAATATTTGAATTCTGCAGTAGAAACAGTTTTTTAGCATTTAAAACTATATTTACATTTGTGCTCTAAATAAACAACAGTGAATAAGAAGTCAGTAGTCAGCCCTTTGAGCATGTTGAATCATTGAATTACAGCAGGGTCTGCAGCATGTGGTTCCAGAACCATTTGCAGCTCTTTAACATATCATTCACAGGTCTCAACTTTGTCCAGTTGAATCCAAGCAATATGAAAAAACCTAAAAAAGAACTCAAGCCAAGAAACACACCAGCCATGTCTTTATTGTAGGGATTAAATGTTAATCAATATGCTATATTTTAAAGGTTCAAATGATAACTGAAAACATTATCATACTCTTAATAAGCAGTATAACTAGATGATGGTTATAGAAAATGACTGATTCGAGAATGGGATTTATGACTGTGATCATTATTTTTTGAAGTATCATGGAGATGATACATTATTCTAAATGAGCTGCAAGATTTTTTTTTAATTGATCTATTCAGTAGCTGCAAAAATTACTTTAATTCTGTAAATCCCAATGGAAAAGTTTGTTTTAAAACTTTCTTTACTAGCAAAATTAGAGTAAAAAAATCCAAAAGCCCCCACAGTAACTCAGCATTATGGAATTCGAATAGTTACACCACAGAAGGGGTGTATTTGGTCTATGATGTCTGTGCCAGCTTTCAACTAACGTCACCACCTTGCCTTCTCCCCAGAACAGTGTACGTTCATCCTTTTCAGGTAATGATCTAATTTGCTCTTGAATACCTTTATTAATCCTGGCGCCAACACACTTTCAGTCAGTGCATTCCAGATCCTACACACTTGCTGTGTGAAAAAAAGATTTCCTTATGTTGCCACTTCTTTTCTCAATTAGTTTAAATCTATTTCCTCTGATTCTTAATTCTTACATCAATGCTAACAATTTCTCCCTTACTAATCTGTCCAGAACCCCCAAAATTTGAAAGCCTCTTTCAAATATCATCTCAACTTTTTCCCCAAAGCTACAATTCCAATTTCTTCAATTTATCTACGTAACTGTTTCTGATCCCGAGAACATTTCTCATGCTGCTATTCTGAATCCTCTCTCATGCCTTCACATCCTTCCAGTATATATGGTGCAATAACTGAATGCACACTCCAGCTGAGGTCAAACCAATGTTTTCTATGCTTGTATTGATAACATTGAGGATGTTTTATGCTTTATTAACTGCACTCTCAACCTGTTCTACCACCTTCATCAACTTGCACATACACATGCTCATGCATCTCCTTTACACTTCTATTTGAATTTAAATTTCTTCTACTGATGCATTAGCTATGTACAAGAAATAAAACCTTTATTATATTTATGCAAGTTGTGCATTTTACTGGAGACATGAAGCAATATCACATTTCTGTTTTGCAGAAAATTTAGACAAATCTTTTTAAAAGGCTCTTCAGTTAAGAAAAAGGCTCACTCAATTCATTCCTGAAATGAAAGGCTTGGAATGAAGGAGGCAATGTATTCTTTGAGCCTAAACTCATTGGACGTTGAAGGATTGAGATGGTCTTATTGAAACATACAAGATCCTGCGGGGTCATGACAGTGTGGATATCTTGTTGAGGAGACTAGAACTAAGTGACGGACTTTAAGATTAAGAGATGTCACTTATAAAACAGTTATGAGAACTCTTTCCCATTGAGAATCATTAGTGTGTAGAATTCTCCTCCCTAAAAAGCAATGCAGCTGGGTCACTGCATTTATTCAAAACAAAATTAGACCAGTTGTTGATAAACAGTAGAATCAATGTTTGTACAGTACAGACATGAGAGTGGAAAATTAGGACCACAACCAGATCAGCCGTGATCTTACTGAATGTAACAGTAGTCCACAGTTTATGAAAAAAAAAACGCTTCTGAAAAGTCAGTAATTGGAAACGGTATGGGACTGCTTGCGGACAAGAAGCACTATATAAATGTCAGTTATTTCTAGCTCTAGTGAAAAGGTGAGAGGAAAGGAGCGGGCTTTTTTTATTAATAAAAAAAACATACCAGTCCATTTTGTGATTTGTAAAACTACTCAAAAGTTTAGCTGGTACTGCTAATGCAGAAAAGTGTCTTTAAATGCTCAGATTTAGACTTTCTAGCTCATGTTCAGGGTAACTATAAAGTAATTAGGTATGAATATGCATCAAATCTCAGTAATATCAAAGGGTTCTTTAATGAGTTATTAATTCTCATATCTAGGACAGTCATCTTTAGTGCACTACTTAGGCCAGCTAGCTTGATTTATTTAATATGCCTAAGTTTCTCCCACTCAGCTCCTTTCAAGCCTCCTATCCCATTTACTTGTCTGCACAACAATCTGCAACAGAATTTAGAAAACAGATATAGAGAACTCTGAACGGCCTGTGTCTATGAGCCCTGCAAATTTCACGGATTTTTTTATGCAAGATAGACAAACAGACAATAATCCCATTCAATTGTTTTTTTGCAGTATGTGGGCAACAACCATGGGCAGTAAACAAGGGGGACGTGGGGGCAAAAGAATGGCTCACCCTCCCAGAAGAAAGGTAGGTAGCCAGTCAACTGGCCCCCATCCTTAAACCGGCTCATAGTGAGACTCCTGCTGGCTGCCAGCCAATCTGTTTGGGTTGCTGCTCCTGTAGTCCTGGCAACACCAGTGGACAGCAGGAAGGCCAAGAATTCTCCTTCCTCTGGAACCAAATACCCCATTGGATCTGGAGGAGGGAAGGTCTGGGGGCTCTGGATGGGGTGGAGATTGGAGGCGGTGAGCAAGCATGGTGGGTTATAAAGAATATGAGGGTAGGATGGAGGAGGGATGCAATCTTCTCAGTGGTGTCTTGACGAACAAGTGCATCCTTCAGTAATAATACCCTTCCTTTCTTTTCACCGTTTCAAATGCTTTGGACAAAACAGAAGTCCTGCCCACACCTACCGAATGTTTTATGGCATGGGTATAGTAATACTCGGGAATAATATTTAACAACTTCAAAGGACTCATAATTATTTACTTACATATGATAGGTGGGCTGTTTTATGAGTGGATGGCAAAGCATGGGCTAGCCATCCGACCAATGTTCCCTGCAACCCCGTTGAAAATGCGCCCAAGGCGGCCGTGTAAGATCCAGCTATTATATTTTAATCAAGTCTTCAGTCAATCATTTTTAAAAAATCATGCTGACTACACGGTACTTAAGTAAATGCAGATCAAAACATGTAACAAAACATCTGTTTCTCAAATCAATATCAAATAAAATCTAAGCTTGAATTTATGCAAGAATACCATAGGCTCACCTGAGATGAATCAGACACAGTAACATGTTGAGTTTTTACAAAATTATAATCCTCCAGGGTCATGGAGTAGTACAGTTCAGCAATTTTGTTGCTCGACCTAATGAGACAGTGGAATAACTTTAAATAAAGAACTCATCCATACAATATCAATTTTCAGAGCACAGTATCAAATTCAAAAACGTTATAATTAATGAGCCTGTTAGCTCAGTTGGTTGTACAGCCATTGTGTGAACCAAATTACTAGAACAGCACAAGGTTCGATTTCTGTACTTGATGAGGTAGACTCAGGGCCAATTTCCTCACCCTTCCTGGAGCAAAGAAAATCACAGCAGTTTACTGTGGCTTGGTAAATGATTGCTAAGGTCCTACCTTGGTGCAGAGAATTCAGGAAGATGATACTTAATGGCAAAAAAGATGACTGTAAATAGTGTAAAAAATACTTTTAAAAAACCATTTAACTTTAGCTTGGTGTGACATTATCCAATGTTTTCCCCGTACAATTTTGAGAAGTCTAAATTAGTGGAATAAACTCCTGCTTTATATGTAATTAAACCTTTAATCCAATGAAAATATTAGAATGTATTACTAACAATGTTGTCACAATGAAACTATTCTGTCAGCAGTTTTCAAGTTTCAATTATAATTTTATTATTGTTCCCTTTCTCCTTCATTTCTCTTTTAATATTAGGCTTGGAGAAGCATTTTTCTATTTATTTCTCATACAAAATGAATATGTTTTAAAAAAAAGGTTTTCCCAACACACAACTGTCTTGATCTTAAAAGAGTTAGTGCTTAGTTGTTGAATTATTGATACGCAAAATGATATTCTGTACCCATCAGTACCTTTCAGAAAGGACAAATGTATTAAAAACAGCAATGCCACATTGCATTGTCGATAAATCACACCACGTCAGTTTAAAAAAAAATTTCTCCCATTTGCTGTCTATCTAGATTCTTTCTACTTTACTGCCAAAATTGCCCTTGCACAGATAAGCAGAAGTTCTCCTGCAATTTTTTTTTTCTTTACAGACACTTCGCCAGTCTGACTGAGCTTGGGGAATACCATTTGAGTGCAGGAAATTGTATAGCTTCACTCAGGACATATGCTGATTGGAGGGACTCCAGATCAGCCCACAGCAAAGTCCCAAAACAAAGCCAAGTCTTGGTCAAACAATTAAAATTTTCTTCAGGATCCAGGTCAGTAAACCACTGTAGTTGCAGCTGGTATATGGATTTGAGACAGACAAAGAGTCCTACTAGACCTAAACTGAGTAAGATAACTCATAGGCCAGTACCTATGAGTTAGGAGAGCGCATACTCTAGAAAATCCACATACATCTGAGTTGGAACAGTTAAATTGCTTAGCAAAATCCAAATCAGACCCAATAAAAATAAACGCCTGGTTAAATGATCATCGGTTCTAATGGAGATCAATACCGGCATGGCCGTATCAATGATTGCAGAACCAGTTTTTTAACAAAATTTGGTCTGAACTCCAACTCTTAAGTTTGCACAAGACCTTGGCTAGGCTGAGAACCTATATCAGGGAACCTTTACAGATTAAGGGTATAACTTCGGTTCCGGTCTTGTATGAGAAGCAGCTAGTTCAGTTACCACTGATTGTAATAAAAGGCACACGTTCAAGCATGATAGGGTAAAATTGATTGACAGAGATTCACCTAGATTGGCTCAACATTTTTCAATTAGAAAATGGCTGCCTGAGTGAAATCCTAATTACATAACCAGAAGTCTTCCAGGAAGGTCTAGGGACTACCAGAGGAGTCAAGGCCACCTTGCATCTTGACCTGGAAGCAATTCCATCATTCTGCAAGACCACCCAGTGCCATTTGCCCTAGGGGCAAAAGTAGAGGCAGAAATCAGAAGGCTAGAAAATGAAGGAATCATCAAATCAGTATAATGTGCAGAATGGGCAGCACTGGCTGTGCAGATTTTGAAACCCAAAGTTTCACCTTTGTGGGAGTTTTAAACAAGCGGTAAACCAGTTTTTGCAGCTGGATAAGCACTCAATCCCTCAGATACAGGATTAATACAAAGCTGGCAGAGGTGTGACTTTCATGAAGCTTGGCATGAGCCACGCTTACTTGCAATTGTGTTTAGATAAGGATTCCCTGAAGTATGCTACAATTAATACCCAGAAGGCTTGCCATTTGGGTGTTGTCAATTTTTCAGCAGACGATAGAGAACATTTTGTAAGGTCTATCTCAGGCTGCCATTTATTTAGATGATGTGCTAATAACAGGGAATAAAAAAAAACACTTAGAGAGCTTGGGCATAGTCCTTAGATGTTTTTATGTGAGCATACGCCAAAGGGAAAACTGTATGTTCCAGGCACTCGAAGTGACTTACTTGGGCTACAGAGTTGACAAAAACTGGGTTACGCCCACTGGAAGATAAAATGAGGGCGATTAAAGTTGCCCCGGCTCTCACGTCTGCCCAGGAGCTGAGGTCATTTCTTGGGCTAGTAAATTATTCTGAAAGCTCCTACATAAACTGCCCTCCACCTTTGCATCAACTCCTAACAAAGGGTCAGCCTTGGAAAAGGTTGCATAGACAAGCCCAAGCTTTCAGTGAAATGAAGAAATAGCTTTCATCCTTTAAAGAGTTGGCACACTGCAATCCCAAGTGAGATCTGGTATTGACATACGATGCCACCCCATACAGCATCTAGGGGTTATTAGCTCATAGGTGGCCCAATGGAGAGGAACGCCCAACAGCATGTGGATCCCCGACTTTGGCTAATGCAGAGCGTAAATACGCCAAGGCAGAGAAGGGAGGATTGGTGGTCTTAGAGTCAGGAAGTTCAACCAATACGTTTATGGATGAAAATTTGTGATAATAACAGGCCACAAATCCCTACAAGATCTGCTTAAAGAGCACAAGACAGCGCCACCCAAATTCACTGGTGGGTTCAAATACTAAGTGCCTGTAATTACAACTTAGAACACTCTACGACAGGCCAAGTAGTGAATGTGGATGCATTGAGCTGCCTCCCATTGGCAGTAACACCGCCAATAGTACCACCAATGGAAAAGTCTTGTAATGGTATTAAATTTTCTGGACACAGTCACAGTTGATAATAGCAGACTTGGGGCGCAGGAAGATCCAGTTCTGTCAAAACTGAAACAACTGGTGATGATGGACGAAGCCATACAACTAGATTAAAACCTTTTCTTTGGACCCAGAGAGACCAGCTCACAGTAGAGGATGCTGGCGATAGTCCTGAACAAAGGGCATCACTAGATACTAACTGAACTCAACCAGGTTCATCCAGGGGTCTCCAAAGTGAAGATGCTGGCGATGCGTTATATCTGATGGCTAGGCTTGAATGCAGAGATAGCCATGTTGGTGTAGCAGTACCCAGAGTTTGAATTAGGTTTACTGTCACATGTGTTCACACGAATACAGTGAAAAGTTTCCAAGTCGCCACTTACGGCACCATTTTAGGTACAAAGATGCCTAGGTACAGAATCTTAGCTACAAAACAGAAAATAATGAAGACAAAGTTTAAAAGTTAAACGTTACAGTCTTTCTTACTAAAAATTGGAAGAACAAAGAAACACAGTTAACACCGTAGTCCATAAGTGTCTGGCCATGCTGGACTCCTCACTCCTCTCAACAGTTCAACCTCCCCTGCTTTGGGCTCGACCTTGGTACCACACTGTGCTACCTACACTCGCCACCTTGAAACCTGTTCCTGTTACTGCCACCACCACGGGAAACATGTTCCTGCTCCCACCACTGCCTCGTGCTGCCTGCTCCTGCTCTTGCTACTGGCCACTCCAGCTGCCTTCTCCTGCACTCCTGCTAGAGTCCTGCTCAGGTACCACTCCAGGGCCCCAGTTGCTTCCACGCTCTGGACCTTGAAGAAACCATGACACTGTTCATAAAAAATTGGATAAGAATGATGGCAAGAAAAGGTTTCAGGAGTTTAGAAGAATGAGAGATGATCTTCCTGAAACGTAAGATTCTCAGGGTGTGTGATATAATAGATGCTGAGAGATTGTTTCCCATTATGGCTCATCATTTTAGACAGAGAGGAGGAGGAATTTCTTCTTTAAGAGGGTTGTGAAACTGTAGAATTCTTTAATTCAGAAGGCTGTAGTGGCTGGTTCATTAAGTATATTCAGAGCTGAAATAGTTAGATTTTTAAATCAGTTAGGGAATCAATAATAATGGTGAAAAAACAGGAAAGTGGAGTTGGCCAGATCAGCCACAAGCTCATTGAATGGCTTACATCTGCTTGTGGTCTATTAGCAGAACAAAGAAGCAGTCCAGTGATATGGCACAAAACCAGCAGTACACATCCTACATTAGAGTCAAGATCACACTGGTGAATCTTTGCGATTAAAAATAAACTCGTATTAGTAACTTACTTTACTTGTCTGTGACAGACAAGCATAGGATATATTACTCAAAGTTTAAGACGTACTATTACACACAAACAGGATTTGGCAATGAGGAATTACAACTAAGGTTTCTAGTATTATTTTAATAATTTACTTGCCCATGTGCTGCCACAACTGGTATCCTCTCACTGTAGGTCTGACGCCAACATTGATCTCCTGATGGTCCCAAAAAGCGAGATTTTTCTGCTGTCAGAACATTGGATAATTTCAATCTTGCCACTCCCAACAGCAAGTCTTTGGCCATTTTATCTTTGTGCCATACTTCAACCAACAAAGGTAACCTAAAAGATTAAATTAATCTGAATTTATAGTAAATATAACATGCGATATTCTACTGCTACACTTAAATCTGTTTATTTTGTCACTTTATTTGAGGTCAAGTTCAAAAATATAACCAAGTTGAAATCTGAAATAAACTTGTTTTTGAGACAAAAAAAAAATCACATCAAGTTCCTAACTAAATCACGCAGGCAAAGATGATGTCAGGTTCAGTCCTCGATCTATGCTGAGTTAGTTAATATTGGGTAGTGCTAGCTTCAATGGCCACAAAAAATGTTAACAAAAATTTTCCAGGATTTTCTTCTCTGATTCTTATTCAATTACCTGAGACAGAAGAAGCAAGAACCAGAAAAAATATAGGGTAGGTAGCAAAAGTATACCAGGTATGGCTTCAAAAGTTTAACAGACCAGAAGGATTCAGGATTAACGTAAAATGACGGCCTGCATATGGCACAAAAAATGTAACTAATTAGATTTTTTTCTGAAGAAGGGTCTAGACCCGAAACGTCAGTTTTCCTGCTCCTCTGATGCTGCTTGGCCTGCTGTGTTCATCCAGCTCTACACCTTGCTGTAACTAACTAGATGTAAGTTTTACAATAAGGAGTTAATACCTTCAAGGGAAGAAAGTTTTTCTTTTAAAGTAATTTACTATTTTAACATCTGAAGAATAGCAGTATCTTTCAGGGGCCAATATTAGGGTCTCTGGTCTCTTTGTGTAAGTATTAGACTTGAGTATGCAGTAAGTAGTTTCGAAGTTTGCAGACAACACAAAATTCTGAACACAGTAAACAATGAGGAGGACAAGAACAGACTTTAGATGGATACAGGCTGCTGAATTGGATAGAAATTTGGCAGATGAAATCTAATGTCGCGAAGTATGGATCTTTATAGGAAGAATCAGGAAAAGCATTATAAATCAAATAAACAATATTAAAGAATGTGGACGTACCAAATAGGAGAATTAGGCCACACAGCCCCTCAAGCCTGTTACACCATTTAATAAAATCATGGTTGATCTGATTACTCTGCATTCCTGCCCAGCCACAATAACCTTCCATTCTCTTGCTCGTCAAGAATCTACCCATCTGTCCTAAAGAATCATGACCCTCTTTGAGAAAACATTTCTCAATTCATTCTTACATGGATGACCTATTATTCATAACAGTGACTCCTATTTTAGGTTCTCCCACAAGAGGGAACATCCTTTCCACATACAGCCTGTTGAGACCTCTCAGGATACTGTATGCTTCAATTTAATCACCTCTTGCTCTTTCAACCTCCAATAGATACAAGTCTAAATTACAAGTCTTTCAGTTCATAAGACAACCCATCCATCCCAAATATTAATCTGGTAAACTGCTTCCAATGCATTTATGTATTTCCTTAAATTAGAACAATCCTGGATACCATAATGAAGATATGATCTCACCAATGTCCTTTATAACTGAAGTATAACATTACAGCAACCTTGATGTTGGAAATGACTGCTGGAATGCGAAACCTGACATGAAATCTTTGCTATTGACCACATTCAATGCATTCTTTGGATGGTACAAATCCTGGAGTCTGCCATTATTCTTAAAAGCGCCAGAATGTGCCAGAAAGGAATAGACTTATACAAAAAAAGCAAAGGGAAATTCAGTATAACTGATGATAACTTGATTCATGGTGTAGGAGGAAAAGATCATGACCGTCACCGAGATCATGACCGTCACCTACATGAAGCCATGGAGTCAAATGGGATGTTTGGGGTCAAGCTAAACAAGTGTGCTGTTAAGTTGATAATGCCAGTCCTTTGGAGTGGTGTGGACACTTAGGTGTCTAGCTGAAAATTATTAATTAATGATCACTCAATAAAGACAGCAGATCAGATGATGTGCTACAACAACAGAATGGGAGAACTTCTGGATGCTAGTGAGCTCTGGAAAACACATCTGCAGCTGCAGGAACCTCTGCTCAGTTAGCCGTGGAGCCTAAGCTGCAGATACCACAGCACATAAAGAAGGGGAAAGTTAGCAGGTCACCTCCTTTCAGGCAACAGCCATATCCCTTAATATAGGGTCATCTGATTTGGCCAGTGATTAGGGACAGGAGGGTGCAACAGAGAGTAAAGCAGTTAAAAGGACCCAAAGGCAGCAGCCCTAGCCTTTGATACTATCCAAAACTTACAATGGAGGTTTTTTCAGCTTGTTTAGACAAGAATGAGGGCTACAGGGTGGATAAGCTAACTGACCATAGCACCGTGGTTCAGGAATTCACTCATGAGGTAGTACAACATGGTCCTGGGGTCTAAGTTGGACTTCAGCTTAGCATCTTAAAAGGGGTAGCTACTAAAGAGCTAGATGCATTCGTGATAATCTTCCAATATATGTAAAAGTTAAGAATGGTTCCATCAACCAGAAAGTAGAAAATATAACTCTTCTTTTCAAAATGGGAAGGAGGAAGAAAACAGAAAACTATAAGCCAATTATCTTGACATCTGTCATCAGGGAGGTGTTAGAATCAATCATTAAGGAGGTTACAACTGGGAGCTCAGAAAATTTGACACAATTGAGAGAAGTCAGCCTGGTTTTGTCAAAGGGAAATCAAGTTCAACCAATTTACTGGAATCCTTTGAAGGAGTAACATGCACTGAAGATAAAGACTAGCCTTTAGAAGTCCTACAGAAGATATGTAACGAAGTGTCACAGAAGTTATTGTACAAAGTAGAAACACATGATTAGAGGATAACATACTGGCATGGATAGACGTTTGGTTGGCTGGTAGAAAACTATGTATAAAAATGGGTATTTTTCCTGATTGACATGATGTGATGATGGGGTCTTTCAGAGGTGTGTTCTGGGTTCTCAACTGTGTATAATTTATATCAATGATTTAAATGAGGGAAGCAAAAGCATGGAAGCTAAATTTGCAAATAATACAAAGATAGATAGCAATGTTTATTGTGAAGAAGGCATTAGGAGGTTACAGATGGATATAGATAGGTTGATTGAGTGGCAATAATCTAAGAGATGGAGTATAAAGTTGGAAAATGCCATACAGGGCATTGTTGACACCACATCTCAAATCCTGCGTGCAGTTTTGGTTTCCTTACCTAAGGAAGGATGAACATGCATTGGAAGCAGTTCAGAGGAAGTTCCTGGATTGATATCTGCAGTGAATGGGCTGCGTTATGAGGAATGGTTGGACAGACTGGACTTTTTTCGCTGGAGTTTAACAGATAGACTGGCAACTTGTTTGGAGTATACAAGATCCTAAGATCTTGACAAGTCGTCTCTGAAAGGTTGTTTCTTGTGTGTGAGTTCAGAACTGGGGTGCTACGTTAAAGTTAGCAGTTGCTCTTTTTGGGCTGAGATCAGGTGAAATTGTTTCTCTCAGAGTTCCGCAACTTTGGAACTCTCTCAGAAGGCGTCTCTCAGAAGTAGAAGCCATTGAATATGTTTAAGGCGAAGTAGATTGAATTCCTTGCCCAATAAAAATCTAAGGTAATCAAGATTTAATGGGGAATTGAATTCAAAACATAAACCAGCCATGATCTTACTGAATGGTGGAGCAGGCTCAAAGAGCTGAATGCCCTACTTCTCCTCCTAATTCAAATGTTCACATGCATTCAATTCCCCTGATAATAAACAGCAAAATTCTTTCAGTTTTCTTAATTACTTGCTTTTCTTGCATGCTAACTTTTTGTGCATCATGCACTCAGACATCCAGACACTGCGCATCTCAGGGCTTTGCAATCTCTCACCATTTATGCTTATTTTTATATTCTACCTCCTGAGGTTGGCCATTTCACATTTTCCAGCATTATACTCCATTTGCTGGATTTTTGCCCACTCACTTAACCAATCTATATCCCTTTGTAGACTCCTTATGCTCTCTTCACAACTTGATTGTGTAATTTATCAAATTTCACAACCATGTCTTCTATTCCTTTGTACAAGTCATTTATATAATTTGTAAAATGTTAAAGCACCAGCTCTGATCCCTGTGGCACACCACTTGTTACATCTTGCCAACCAATAAATGACCCATTTATGCTCACCCTCTGCTAGCCAGCCAGTTTTCTATCAATGTCAACATGTTAACTCTTACATAATGAATTTTTATCTTCCACAATTTAACTTTAATATTATCCGCTTCCGGCAAATCTGAATCCAACAAATGTTGCCCCACTATTTGGGGGTTTGTGGGGTGGAAGGGAGAGAGAGAGAGAGAGGGAGAGAGAGAGAATAAAAAAGGGAAAAAGGGAACTACAGATTTATTAACCTTACGTCAAAATGCTATAAAGAATGCAATAAATGAATACTTGGTAACAATGATCAGGTCCGGCACAGTTAGAATGGGTTTGTGAATAAGAATTTGTGTTAAATTAACTTGGTGCAGTTTTCCTGAGGATGTTGCTAATAAGGTTGATAAAGAGATGTTGTTTGATTTTCAGAAAGCTTTTGATAAAGACCTCCACAAGAGGCTAGTTAGCAAAACCAGAAACACTGAAAACGAGGTAATGCACTGGCACGGAGCAAGTATTGGTGAACAGGTAGGATACAGAATATGGATAAATGGATCATTTATAGTAGCTTGTGGGATACCATAGGTATCTGTTGACAATATATATCAATGATTTGGAGGTGGGACCAAACGTAATATTTCAAAATTTGCAGCTGACACAAAACTAAGTGGGAATGTGTGTTGTAAAGAAGTTGTACAGCAGCTTCAGGAGAATTTGGTCAGGCTTATTTAGTCGACAAGAACATTGCAACTGGAATATAACGTGCAAAAATGTGAGGTTATCCACTTTGGGTGGGAGGAACAGATGTGCAGAGTATTTCTTAAATAGTAAAAGCTTGGAAAGGGACCTAGGCATCATTTTCAGTAAGTCACTGAGGCTACCATGCAGGTGCAGCAAGCTATTAGGAAGGCTAATGGAATGTTAGCCTTAATTGCTGTGGAGTCTTGCTGGAATTGTACAGATGATTGGTTAGACCAGACCCATAGAACTGTG